AAGCGCGAGTTCTTCCAGGTGTTGGTGCGGATCCGGGCCGGCGCTGAGAATGTGGCTCCCAAGCCCAGCTTTATGGCCATGCTCATGATGGAGGTGGACCAGTTTGTCCTCACTGCCGTCACGCCTGACATGTTGGCGGCTGAGGATGCTGAGTCGCCCCCAGACTTACTGCTCTTCAACATCACCTCGCCCTTCGGCCCTGGCCAGGGGTACATGGTCAGCACCGATGACCGGAGCTTGCCCATTTCCTCCTTCAGCCAGCAGGATGTGAGGGAGCTGCGCATTGCCTACCAGCCACCCGCGGAGGACTCGGATCGGGAGCGGCTCTTTGAGCTTGAGCTGGAGGTGTTGGACCCTGAGGGTGCTGCCTCAGAGCCCTTTGCCTTTGTGATTGTGGTGAAGCCCATGAACACCCTGGCGCCTGTGGTGACTCGCAACACCGGCCTTGTGCTCTATGAAGGGCAGTCACGGCCTCTCTCAGGCCCTGGTCCCAGCCCCAACCTGGTTATCAGTGATGAGGATGACTTGGAGCAGGTGAAGGTGAGCGTGGTGGCAGGGCTCAGGCATGGCCACCTCACTCTGCTGGAGGATGCGCCGTTGTCTGCTGTCCCTCGTAAACACTTCACAGTGGCTGAACTGGCAGCCGGACGGGTCATTTACCAGCATGATGGCAGTGAATCTCCTCTCAGTGACAACCTAGTACTGCGACTGGAGGATGGTGGCTCCCGCCACCGTGTTGAGTTTCTTTTCCCCATTACCCTGATACCCACTGATGACCAGCCACCACTACTCAATGCTAACACGGGGCTGGTCGTGGCTGAGGGTGAAACGGTGCCCATTACCACTCGTGCTCTTAGTGCTACTGACATAGACTCACTGGATGCTGTCCTGCTCTTCACAGTGGAGTCTGGCCCAACTGCAGGGCAACTACTCCTCCGTCAAGCCCAGCCACCTCCTGATTGGGAGACGGAGGAGGAAGAAGATAAGGCTTTTTCCTGGAGGAGGGTGCCAGGTTTAACAGGGAGCTCCCTAGTCTATGAAAAGACAGTGAGGGAATGGCTGCAGCAGGACATTGTGGAAGGGCGTCTTTATTACCGCCACCTAGGACCTCACAGCCCTGGACCTGGAATTGTGTTGGACCAGTTCATCTTTAGGGTCCAGGATGACAATGATCCACCGAACCGCTCGGGCCCACAAACTTTTGTGATCCGAGTTCACCCCATAGACCGATTAGCCCCAGAGCTACATAGTGGCAGCAGTCTGCACTTAATCGTTGCAGAACAGCAGGTGACCCCACTGCGGAGGAAGCACTTGTGCTACACAGATCAGGATTCAGGGGACCGTGAGTTGCGCTACAGAATCATCCAGCCCCCCACTGACACTAACCACCCTCCAGATGTACTTGGATCCCGCCTTGGATCCCTCGTGCTGACTGAGGATCACTCTGTGGAAGTGTCCCGCTTCACCCAGGCCCAGATCAATCATCACAAGATCTCCTATCGTCCTCCGCAGGAGGAATTGGGGGTGGCCCCTCACTTGGTTCAGTTCCAGTATCAGGTAGAGGATGCAGCTGGCAATGCAGCTGAAGGGACTTTTACCATTTACCTGCAGCCTGTGGATAACCAGCCTCCTGAAATCACGAATACTGGCTTTACTGTGCCTGAGGGAGGCAGCCACGTGCTTAGTCAGGCAGAGTTGGATGCCAGTGATACAGATACTGAACTCGCCCATCTCCGCTTCATTCTGACCCAGGCTCCCCAGTATGGTCAGTTGCAGCTCTCTGGGTACGGTTTGATTCTAGGAACTGCCTTTGGCCTGGAGGATATCAGGCAAGGGAGGGTGGTATATGTACACAGCGGAGCAGAGGCCAACAGTGATACTTGCAGTCTCGATGTGAGCGATGGGGTTCACGTTGTGCCCATCACATTGAAAGTGAATGTGCAGCCCGTTGATGATGAGGTTCCTACCTTACGGTTGCCCCCAGGCACTGTTGGTTCCTACTTGGATGTGCTGGAAAATGGTGCCGCTGAAATCACTGCTAACGTCATCCAGGGCACAGATGAGGATACAGATGACTTAATGTTGACCTTCATTGTAGAGGATCCTCCTCAGCATGGGGACATCCTGGTGCAAGGGGTGCCTGCAGAGAGGTTTTCCCAGAGAGATCTGTTGGATGGGGCTGTGGTATATGCTCATACTGGTGGTGAAATAGGCCTTCTACCCAAAGAAGATGCTTTCAATCTTACCTTGTCTGACCTGTCAGAGCAGTGGAGCGTCAGAGGCAATGTTGTTCAGGGAGTCTCTGTCTTGGTGACTATTCTCCCTGTTGACAGTCAAGCTCCAGCGATTTTTGTGGGGCAGCAGTTCATGGTAACGGAAGGAGACAAACAGCTCATTACTCCTGCTCACCTAAGGGTTGAGGATGTGGATACTCCCTATGATGATATACTCTGTACCATTGTTGCTCAGCCCACGTCTGGATATGTAGAGAACATTTCTCCAGCCCCAGGCTCTGAAAGGTCCAGAGCAGGTACGGCTATAAGTGCGTTTACCTTGAAAGACCTCCGTCAAGGTCATATTTTTTACGTCCAAAGCATACATAGAGGTGTGGAGCCTGTTGAAGACAGATTCACTTTCCGCTGTTCTGATGGCATTAACTTTTCTCAGAGGCACTTCTTCCCCATTGTCATTACTCCATCCAATGATGAAGAGCCTGAAATCTTTATGCGTGAGTTTGTTGTGATGGAAGGCATGAGCCTCGTTATTGATACCCCTATCCTCAATGCCGTTGATGGGGACGTTGCTGCTGATAACTTAATGTTCACAATCACCAGGTTTCCCAGGCATGGCCACATTGTGAACCAGCTGGTCAATGGAACTGTCCTAGTGGAGAGCTTCTCCGTGGATCAGATAACGGAGAGCTCTAGCATCCTTTATGAACACGATGACTCTGAGACAAAGGAGGATGTTTTTGACGTGAAACTCACAGATGGTAAATACAGCGTAATGAAAAGGATATTCATCATGATTATTCCTGTAGATGATGAGACACCCAGAATGGCCATCAATGACGGTTTGGAGATCGAAATAGGGGAAACTAGAACTATTCATAACAGAATATTGAAGGCTACTGACTTAGACTCTGAAGACAAAACTTTGACATACATCATAAGATACGGGCCAGGACATGGCCTCTTACAGAGAATAAAACCTTCAGGAGGAGTTGAGAATATCACAGTGGGGATGAATTTCACCCAGGACGAGGTGGATAGAAACTTCATTCAGTATATGCATTTTGGACGAGAAGGAGTTCGTGACCTTATCAAATTTGATGTGACGGATGGAATAAATCCTCTCATTGACCGCTACTTTTATGTGACTGTAAGTAGCATTGACATTGTCTTCCCAGATGTAATCAGCAAAGGGGTTTCCTTGAAGGAAGGAGGTAAGGTAACCCTTACTACTGATTTGCTTAGCACGAGTGACTTGAATAGTCCAGATGAGAACTTAGTTTTCACCATTACCAGAGCACCTGTTCGTGGTCATCTTGAATGTACAGATCAGCCTGGGATGCCCATCTCCACTTTCACTCAGCTTTTGTTAGCAGGTAATAAAATTTACTACATTCACACTTCAGAAGATGAGGTGAAAATGGACAGCTTTGAGTTCGAGGTGACTGATGGCTATAACCCTGTTTTTCGTACTTTCAGAATTTCAATTAGTGACGTGGACAATAAGAAACCTGTGGTCACAGTGCATAAGCTGGTGGTGAGTGAAAATGAAAACAAACTGATAACCCCTTTTGAACTGACAGTAGAGGACAGAGATACACCTGATGCATTTCTAAAATTCATCATCACTCAAGTACCAGTTCATGGTCAAATCATGTTCAATAACTCCAAACCAGTCACCACCTTCACGAAACAAGATCTGAATGAAAATCTAATCAGCTACACCCATGATGGCACAGAATCAGTCGAGGATAGTTTCTCTTTCACTGTTACAGATGGCACTCATACTGATTTCTATGTCTTTCCCAACACTGTTTTTGAGACAAGGAAACCTCAGACTATGAAGATTCAGATAATGGCTGTGGACAACAATGTGCCTCAAATTGTAATAAACAAGGGTGCACTAACCCTCCGTATTCTGGCCACAGGTCACACAGGGTTTCTGATCACCAACAAGGTACTCAAAGTAGAAGACAGAGACAGTTTACACAATGCTCTCAAGATCAGAATCACAGAGGGTCCTCGCCATGGCTTCCTGATCCACCTGGGGAAAGGCAACCATAGCATCAGCCAGTTCACCCAAGGTATTGCAATACCACATGCTTTCTTTAGGTCACTGGAAACATTTTTGGTCGTGTTACACTCCTTAACAATTTATGGGAGAACACTTCCAAAAAGCAAGTACAACAGATGTATGTATGTGTATAAACTCTTTATGTATGTATGTGTTGTGTTTATGATTGCATAGGCAGGAAGAAGGGTCCACTGGATAAATGGTGTAAAGAAACATCTTTGCTCTGGAGAGTTTACAGACCAAAGAACTTGGAAGCCCTTAACTTGTATTGAGCACTTAGTGATACAAATGGAAGTAACCAAATTGGGCTGTACATGATACTGAATCTTTAGAGGCCAAGGGTTTTCTTTAAAAGTTTTATTTAGGAAATGCTACAGGAGTGACCATGCTATTCTTAACTAGTGATCATACCATGGCTAGGATATCAGCTGCTGTACAGTCTGAGTGCACTTAGCTTTAAAAGAAAAATCATTTCCCAGGCAGAGGGTGATAATATATCATGACTGCATTTGTTGCCTTAATTACACAAGCCTTAACCACAAAGTGTTTGTGGTAAATTAAGTAATGTAAATATTTCAAAATTATGTCAGTGGTACTAACTTTTTACATGGAACTAAGATACTGGGTGGTATAAATAGGATGAAAACCACGTGTGCTCTATACACTGAAATAGAGCCTTAAAACAAGGCTATGCAGTAACTTTCTTTAAATGAAAGGAAAGCATTAGCTATTCTCCAGAGAAATTTCTGTTACTTTGTAATGAGTTAGTAGCTGGCTAATTAAAAGTGAAATGAAGTTTCATGGCGCCTGCTCCAGCTGCGGAGCGTGCAGGCAGCACAGCTGCATGGAGAATCAAAAGCAAAGAGGCACGGGCAGCGTGGGCTGGGTAGGTGGCAGGGGTGGACAGGAACGCTCTGCAGTCGGCTGCGCTTCATTTCGCAGAGCGCACAGTGGTCGGTGACCCCCGTTACGGTCTTGGTTGTAGTGATGTTCTTGGCAGAGACATGAGATCTTGTGAACAGACCTGAAGGACCTTTGAATGGTGGGTATGCGCTAACTGTTGCTCTGTTAGTGATGCACTAGGGAAAAGAAAGAGAGGGTGAGGAGAGACCAAGCAATGTTTAAGCTTTGGGAGTCAACAGCCCCTTTAAGTGTAAAGCCTCAGTAATGAACTGCTAGCTGTATTATGAGTGTCATTGAAAGTGTACATGAGAAACAAAAGAGAATAGGGGTGAGTAAATAGATTATGATTTCTTTTTCAAGGGATATTTTCCTCTTGCATTGGAGAACAGAAGAGAATGTTCCTTCAAAATTGACCACGGCACAGCATAGTGATAATGATAACCCCCATCTCTCTTTGGGGTACTCACGACAGGTACATCTCATCTCTTTTTATGCCATGTGGCCACATATTTTTCTGCCAGATGATCAGGTGCTTTCTGGTCTCTGGTTGGCAGCTCTGCCACATGGATAGAAACCTCCAGAGCTGGTGAGAGAGCATTCTGGTCATATGAAAACCAAAGTAGGAATGTCCAGGCTCCTGGGAAGTGGTGGGGGCAAGATAAACCTGCAGGTCTTGTGGCAGGCTAGGCCTGAGCCACAGGCAGGGCTGGGATCCCAAATTTCCTGGGAGCTGGTGTTTACACCATGTTGCTTGCTCTCTCTCCACTACTTTGCATTGAAAGTACTTGGCTGTGTCCCAGAAGACTGGGAGTGGAGAGGATTTGTGAGAAATGAGGCCAAGACATATACTTTGAGAAGTCTGATTTGGACCTTTGTAGCAACTAGTTTCATACTAGGTCTAGTGATGGAAACAAGGCTGTAAGCAGGTATTTACATGAAGGACGATACCAGAGTGGATCAATGTAAACTTATTTTTGATCAGCAAATAGGAAGACTTTTGTAATTAACTTTATCTTATTTGATGTTTATGCTCTATGTTACTTTCCTGCAATATGTTTTTCCTGCAATACGTTGATGCTACTGTGCTGGACAAGAACTTTTGGTCAACCCTTCCCCCTATATCCTCGCCCCTGCAATGTGATCAAGAAATAACAGCCTCTTCATAGTTGCTGCTATGATATGCTGCTATGATATGCTGACATATCTTTATTTGGAAAATCTAGTAGCCACCTAATGTCTCTGCAAATGTCTGTGAGACCTCCCAGCTTACATTAGATGGCTATTAGTTTTTCCAAATAAAGATATGTCCTCAGCATCAACTATGAAGAGGCTGTTATTTCTCTCACCAACTTCTGTAATTTCTTGGGGCAATCTGAGCTGGATGAAAAGCTTGCAACCTGAGAGGAAGTTCATCTTAAACCTAGTGGGGGTCCTGAGACAGTCCTGTAACTTCACAAGTTCTCTGATGGTATCAGCACAAGGTTGTGTTGAACTGGGGAGTGTTTTTAAGAAATAGACACTATTCTAGTATTTCTTCTTTGACCTCTGTAAACAAATAATCCTGAGCATCTAAATTATGTCTGTGGTCTCTCTTTTCTACTGCCTGAAGACTTTTTAAAATGCTTTATATTTTAGAAAACAAACACAAAGAACTGTTCTGTGAATGCAGCCCAACCACTTGAGGGAGAAAGTGAGGTGATTGGAAAGGCAATGTGAAAGCTAGAAAACACTAGGCCCAAATGTGGATAATACATCTGTTAAGGGTAGGGGTTATTGGAGGTCACATAGCTAGGGAGTCAGAGTCCTGGGTGAAAGGGTGCTCTCTTTTTCTTTCCTTTCCCCTCAGATGCCCTCCGTAGCTGTTTTGGATATGGGAGAGGTTGTGAGTGGCAGAAAGACACAAATTCTTGGCTGGATCTCGAAGGCTACAGTTTTTCAAATATGAGATGCTGAGGTCTTATGTAGACCAAGCAGCGTACTCAAAACTCTGCCTGGAGTTCACTGTTGTTCCTTATATGCCACTCCAATTAATATGAAAACATTGTCCAATTTGAGGTAGTTAATTCATGCATATTTTATGCTCATGCTGAACTGAAACAATTATCTAATGCTCAGGGCAGGAGTAAATAAGACCTTTTTTTTTATTTATTTTTTTTTGTCTGTGTTCTTAATGAGTTTTTGGAAAATGGAGGTTCTGCAGCCAGCCATGAATGGTTTTGACTTTGGGATGTTCCTCTGCTGACTATCAAGCCCACTGTTGTATGCCATCTTTTCCAGTTTTCATCTTTTTCCAGTGTAAAGGCCCCATCCTGCATTGTGGAACAAGCTCTTATGAAAATACTGAATGTGTTCTGAATTCATTGACAAGTGTGGGTCCTAATGGAGCTTGTAAAGCATCTTCACAATCTTACAAAGAATTATAAAATAATTTAGGTTGGAGAGGATGTCTGGAAGTCATTGGGTTTAACCACTGGGCCAGCTGGGCTGTCTCTGAAGTCAAGTCAAGGTCATACACAGTTGAATTTTGAGAGTTACCAGTAATGTGGGGTCTGTCCTAATATTCTTCCACCTCATGTCCCCATTCCTGGTATTCAGGCCATCTTTGTATGAACAGATAGGCTGACTGCATTGAACCGAGGTAACATGGATTGAAAAAAGAGTCATTGTGAGAGCAGCTTGAGCAGACTGTCTGATCTGATTACCTACAACTGAAAGAGGGGGCAGACAGAATGTTTGACAAACAGCCTTGTCCTTTATGTTCAAGATTGCTTTTCAGTATCTTATCAAGTGCTAGAAAGGAAATTAGCCTAGCTCACAAGATGAACTGAAAGGCTCCAGTGAAAACGTGGCTGTGCAGAGTGCAATATGTCCAGGAGATTTGTTCCCTGTTGTGTATCTTGTTCAGGCACAATCAGTGTGGGGATCTCTGAATAGTATACATGAAATACTTCTGCCAGAAGTACGGTGGGTAATCTGTAGCTCATGAGGCTCATAGACTTAACTAGGATTATTCAAAAGGTTTGTCAGTGTAGTGTAGCACAATTAAGTCCTCATCTTTATTTTTTTTTAAGTCCCCCATACTCTCCAAATATCTGATGCTGCTTTCTATCTTTTTATACATAGATATTAAATTGATCTGAATAAGAAAGACACAAGTAACAGTAACAAGATAAAATATTCTTAAAATATATTAAGGAGATTCTAAGTTTATTCAAGTACTAATGCCTCATATTACACCTGAAAGCAGCATTTTCAATTCATTACTACTTCCTTGTGCTGCATATTCAAAATGTAGTAAACACAGAAAAGATTAAAGAAAAACACTTGCCACATTGTAATTTCTAGTTTCTATGTTGTCCTAGTATAAAAATATATATAAAGGCAAATATATACGCACAACTGTACTACACTTGCAGAGGCAAGTCACATCTGGAATTAGTTCATAGCAAATATTCATTAAGGTTAGAGAATTTTTTTTCGAAAAAAGGAGAAAAATCTACTAATGGCTGAGTCTTTCTCATTCAAAATTCAGTGGTATGTAACAAATAGATATTTAGTGTTTGGATATACTTTTTTGAGTGCACCAAATGTGATGAAGTTGCTGAGTGTTATTTAGAGAGTCTCCAGCGGTCAGGTTTGTGAATAAGGACTGGGCTGCATCCCTTGGCTTTGCAGGGGTACTGAGGGGCTGGAAAAAAAGGGAAAGGGATAGAGGAGAGTAAGAATCTGCTTTGGCAGTAAAAAAGCTTAAATAAAATCTTGGTGCTCAGTGTGTCCTCCTGAGGCCAAAGATACATAAGTGGCTATTCCAGCCAAATATTCAACACTTGTGAACCAAGATTTTACTCAGACTTCATTCCTGACAGTGGGTTTCATCTTCCTTTTCTGGCAAGTGTTTTCAGACAGATGAGTGAATTATATTTTCTAGTGCACTTAAAGACTATATATTTATGGGAGAATAAAGAAGACTTTAATAGCGAAATCAATTTTGGATAGTTTTGCTTGGAAAAGCCATGTCCTAATATAGTATAAATAAATTATTATTATTATTGTAATAGGAGAAATCTGCAGGATTTCTAATGACAGGAGAATTGCAATGTCCTCGTGAATGCTTAGCAGGCATTGCAGTTACACAGTAATGAATTGTGCTTGCAAGTGAGGAAGAGTTAATATAGACTTAGTCAACTATGGCAGGAAAGTGTAACATTCCTTAAGTGCCTCTAAACGTGTTCTAATGTTCTAATGAACAGGAAAAAAAAAGAAAAGAAGACAGAAAAAACAAAAGAATGTCATTCTTCTGTGATTCTTTTGATTAAAAATAAAGTTTTTGGATGACAGGTGGCCTTTTTCATGGGGTGGTCCTGCAAACATTGACTCAAGTGGAAGCATTGATTTTGATAAGGCTGCTCACATGGGCACAGCTAAGTACTTGCATAAGTGTTTGCAGGAAGAAAGATTTATTTGCTACACTGGCATAAAAAGGTATTTGTTTGCATCCTCTTTACAGCCCTATTAATTTTTGATCTTTAACTTTCTTTCAAACATTATAGAAGAGATTCTTTAGTGACATATACCTACTGATCATGTTCTTTACTTGTTTGCCCTTGATGTCTGGCTACTTTTGGAACTGTAGATTTTGAGGAGCTCTAATAAAAGAGCTTTTGGGTTCTTTTTACTAATGTACCTGCCCTTATGTGGAAGGAGATTTTCTGTAGTACTTGGGTTCTACTTTAATGGCATGCATTTCCCCAAATTTCCCTTAAAATTAAATAAAATAATTTGCCCCATGCCGTTTGAAGCATGGGAAATGGATTTTTACCAAGTCATCCTTTCATTCAAGGAAAGTGACAAAAATAACTTTTAATGTATTACAATGCTCAAGGAAACAAGTTTGCCTTTTGCTTGTTTTCTTTATAGAAATTGATGATTTAGAAGTATGAATTGAAACTTTTGTTGTGGAAGTCTGGTGTGTCTGCTTTAATAGCATCTGTGTGGGCTCTTAAAGCAGAGCGCCTCGCTGTAGTGTTTGACCATGACTTACGATGCCACAGTGATGCAGATTATATGCCAGGTCCTTTGCAAAGATGCTGATAGGAAAGACAGTCTGGTGGAAAGGGCACGTCGACAATTTAAGAGATAGTTATCTCCTTACTACAGAATGTGTGGATATATCTAAGACTACTTTAAATAAGCTAGGTCACATGCCAGCAGCAGTCTAGCTGTAGAAGCAGGGGGGCTGTGTGGGCTAATTTTTCATGCCTCTTGAATGGAAGGTAGAATCAATGGAGAAAATACCATGAATTTTCCTCTCATTGCAGACAGAGATTGTGACCTCTGACAAGTCCCTTGGGGTAGAAGGCTTCATACTTCATGTCAGAAAGGGTAGATATCTGCCTCTGAACCTAGTGCCAAGAGTCTTTCTCTAGTTAATACAGATGGATTAGCCTTTTTAGAGTGCAATTGGTCTGGCTCATTTTAGACATCCACATTAGGATGAAATAGGCACAGATTTCTCTGATCAAATTAGTCCCTCCCTGAGTCCTATTTTATTTCACTTCTGCACTTGTAAAATACTCTTTTATATTCTGCTTTGAGGATACTGTTTCATAATGTCAGTTTGAGTGCCTTAGATACTCAGTTACTTTAGTGGTGAATGTGCCATAGTATCAAGAGTTTATTTGCCTCACAACAGAATGGAATATGGCTATTGTTTTTCTTTAACACATACATGTATTAGAAGACAAAGTGATAAAAATATAAGTGCATTCTTTATTTCCTCCTTTTTATTTGCTGGTTTGTATGTGTGGGAAAGCTGTGGAATGTAAAGATTTCTTAGCAGCATTTTCTTAGGTCAATACCATGCAACTCATTGGGCATCCCCACGTAGCCTAGAACAGGCTGCAGTAATTGTCAGGATGAAGGACAGTGGCTGAGCCAGTGCCTCAGTGAGGATAGTTCTGTTTAAGAAAATGCACACAAAAAAGACGTGAAACAGCTCTCACTGTTGAATCTCTGTTCTTGCATTTCTTTTAGGTTCTGTTTATCAACACATTCAAGAAGGGCTTACTTCTTACTTACTAGGGAAGTAAGTAAGGGAAGGTAATGAATGATATTACTTACTAGGGAAGGTAATGAATGATATTTGCTAAACTTTGAACTCTGCTAGAACTGAAATTCTTGAGCTATGCTGGAGAATCTTGACTGCTCCATGTTGAAATTAATCTATTTGAGACAACTACTTACATATATATATATATACCAGTAGTTTCTTAGCTGTGATGTTTAAAGTGAAATATATTTTCTCTTTGTTTTTTTTTCCAGCTGATATTGATGATATGAAAATATGCTATGTTTTACGAGCAGGTGACAATGCCACCAGTGACATTTTCCATTTTATGGTTGAAGATAGTGGTGAGTACTCATTTATAGGAATTTTGCTTTTGTTGTTCTTGAAAGAGAAAAATTTTAAGTATAAAAGTACTGAATTTGATTAACAATAATCCGTGTTAACTGCTGGACTGCAGATTACTTTTTTTCTTTTGAATATTGTGAACTGTGTTTCTGGTGACTATAAGGAGATGTTTTGAAGAAACATCTATCAGTAAAAAAATGCTTAACCTACTCTCACAGGTGTCTGGGCTTTGCATCTTTACCTATGTCTTCCCCACCCAGACTCTATACACATTAGTATCTGTAAACATGGTATGATGAATGTTTCCATATTTTGATATGCAGTTATAGTTGCTTGCCTCTTTTAAAAGGTCCAGCTGTAAAGCTGCTTTTCCTATGTCCATCTGGGCTCACTATATTTGGCATACTTGTGCAAGTCTAAGCTCTGCTTCTATTTCTGACATGCCAGTGCTGTTTTTTTATATTAAAGATCTTCATTGAGGGACTGATGAATTCGTGTCACTGATAATATTTTGGAGGGTTCTGGAAGACGCAAGAGGGGGATCTTTAATATCTCATTTAAATACATGCTACATAGCTCTAAGAATA